TATCTATCTATCTATCTATCTATCTATCTATCTATCTATCTATCTAGTAGATAGATAGAGATTTTGAAATATCTGGTAAAAAGTAAAAGTAATTCAACTCTTCAACACTAATATATTAATGTCATTCGTGCGTCTTAAAGGTATTCTTTAAAGCTGGTCTTCTTGGCCAACTTGAAGAGATGAGAGATGACCGTTTATCCCTCATAATCACGGGAATCCAGGCTCGATCAAGAGGTCTGCTCGCAAGAGTGGAATTCCAGAAGATTGTTGAAAGGAGGTCAGACAGACTTAAATATACATAAGCTGAAAGGAGCAAAAAAACTGTTATTGATCATAATGAGTTTGGTTGTACTAATGGTTGATCTTTGACAGGGATGCACTTCTTGTGATCCAGTGGAACATACGTGCCTTCATGGGGGTTAAGAATTGGCCCTGGATGAAGCTTTTCTTCAAGATCAAACCTCTGCTGAGATCTGCTGAGGCAGAAAAGGAGATGGCCAACATGAAGGAAGAATTCCTAAAACTCAAAGAAGCTTATGCAAAATCTGAAGCTCGAAGAAAGGAACTAGAGGAGAAAATGGTGACTCTTCTCCAAGAGAAGAATGACCTGCAGCTCCAAGTTCAGGCTGTAAGTCTAATATCAATATTCCTTATACACTCAACCATGGATATTGTATCTTATACGCTAATGAATATCATCAAATATTAGGAGCAAGATAATCTTGCAGATGCCGAGGAAAGATGTGAGGGGCTGATCAAACACAAAATTCAGATGGAAGCAAAAGCCAAAGAGCTCTCTGAGAGGCTGGAGGATGAGGAGGAGATGAATGCAGAACTGACTGCTAAGAAGAGGAAGCTGGAGGACGAGTGCTCCGAGCTGAAGAAAGACATCGATGACTTGGAGTTAACTCTAGCTAAAGTGGAGAAGGAGAAGCATGCCACTGAGAACAAGGTACTTGATGTTTCTATTTCTGACAACAAGGGTACGAAAAAGAGTCATGTGTCTAAGCTGTGCACGGAATTTGTAATACCATCATTTACCTGCAACAGGTCAAGAACCTTGTTGAAGAGATGGCTGCTTTAGATGAGATCATTGCCAAGCTGACCAAGGAAAAGAAAGCTTTACAGGAAGCTCATCAGCAAACTCTGGATGACCTGCAGAGTGAGGAAGACAAAGTCAACACTCTGACCAAGGCCAAGGCTAAGCTGGAGCAGCAAGTGGATGATGTAAGAATTATAATGAACTTATCCACTTTAGCTTAACTTTTTGATTGGTGAACCATTTTCCTTTGTATTATGGAGACATTAGTTTGCTTCTTTCTAATAACATTCAGCTTGAGGGTTCTCTGGAACAAGAAAAGAAGATTAGGATGGATCTTGAAAGAGCAAAGCGAAAGCTGGAAGGAGACCTGAAACTGACCCAAGAGAGTCTCATGGACCTTGAGAATGACAAGCAACAACTTGAGGAGCATTTGAAAAAGTAAGCACGTTCACATCCTAATAGTTCCAAACAGATTAAGTAAAGCTATATAAGTAGTGCTATAAGTGGCCCTTCCTTCTTCCCCACAGGAAGGACTTTGAGCTCAGCCAGCTTAATAATAAAATTGAAGATGAGCAGGCCATTGCCATTCAGCTTCAAAAGAAACTGAAAGAGCTTCAGGTAATGACTTACTAATATGTGATGCTATCAAAACTAGTTTAACACTTATTAGTGAGAAAGTCTTTAACAGTGATTTTGGCTGTGATCTAGGCTCGTATTGAGGAGCTGGAGGAAGAGCTAGAAGCAGAGAGAGCTGCTCGAGCCAAGGTGGAGAAGCAGAGAGCTGACCTGGCCAGAGAGCTGGAGGAGATCAGTGAGAGGTTGGAGGAGGCTGGAGGAGCCACAGCTGCCCAGATTGAGATGAACAAGAAGAGGGAGGCCGAGTTCCAGAAACTGCGCAGAGACCTCGAAGAGGCCACTCTGCACCACGAAGCCACTACTGCCACACTCAGGAAGAAACAAGCTGACAGTGTTGCTGAGCTGGGAGAGCAGATTGATAACCTGCAGAGAGTCAAGCAGAAACTGGAGAAGGAGAAGAGTGAGCTCAGACTGGAGCTGGATGATGTGGTCTCCAATATGGAACATATTGTGAAGACAAAGGTGTGCTAAAATCACATTATTTGGTAATTTTTTTTCTCCAATGTTAACATAGCCATGTTGACATAGATATAATACATGCATATTGAACATTTGTGTTGAATTTCAGACTAATCTAGAGAAAGCATGCAGGACTCTGGAAGATCAAATGAATGAGTACAAGACAAAGTTTGAAGAGGCTCAGCGCTGCATCAGTGACTTCAACATGCAGAAAGCAAAACTTCAAACAGAGAATGGTATATTTTTCCTTTACTACAACCTACATGTACTTGGTTTGTATGATAGAAAACACTATCCACTTCAATTTTGTATAAAAGTGTTTAAACCTGAAAAACTCAATTGTTATTCTGAAATCAGACAAGGATTCTTGTGTTCTTTGGGTCTGAACAATAACAATCTACATTTACCATAACATTAGGTGAGCTCTCGAGGCAGCTGGAGGATAAGGATTCCTTGGTGTCTCAACTCACAAGAGGGAAAATGTCCTACACTCAGCAGATTGAGGATCTAAAGAGACAACTGGAAGAGGAGACCAAGGTGAAATAAAGTTTCAGTGCCGGCTGACAGCACCAGACGGTTATTTCCTAAAAAGTGTCACCTCTTCATATAACTTTCTTTTAACAGGCAAAGAGTGCTCTGGCCCATGCAGTGCAGTCTGCTCGCCATGACTGTGACCTGCTCAGGGAGCAGTATGAGGAGGAGCAGGAGGCTAAAGCTGAACTACAGCGTGGCATGTCCAAAGCCAACACTGAGGTGGCTCAGTGGAGGGCAAAGTATGAAACTGATGCCATCCAGAGGACCGAAGAACTAGAAGAGGCCAAGTAAGAGTCTGAAATTTAAATAGATGGTTTATTATCCTAAAGAAACTTTACCGTTCGTCTATCAGATCAGCTTTTTGTTTGTATTATGTTCCTACTAAAATGTAAGACGAACAAAAAGTTTGTCTGTTGGATGACCAAGCAGCTACTTGTAGCAGTTGAATTCACAGTTTAGTTATCCACCACACAGCTGCATTTTAATTAAACAGCTCTGAATGATGATTTCTTAAGGAAAAAGCTGGCTCAGCGTCTGCAGGAGGCTGAGGAGGCTGTTGAAGCAGTGAATGCTAAATGTTCCTCTCTGGAGAAGACCAAACACAGGCTGCAGAATGAGATTGAAGATCTCATGGTGGATGTGGAGAGGTCTAATGCTGCTGCCGCTGCTCTGGACAAGAAACAAAGAAACTTTGACAAGGTGAAACACACTGAAGTGTTTGTGACAAAATTATCAATATGCAAGGTGGCTTCTAAAGCCTTACACTAGAAACAATCTCAGCACCCACAGGGGTTATTTAAGCAGAATATAAACACACATGCAGCATGTGGTAGTTTTAAAAATCCACAACAGGCTGCCCCCTTCTGAGCACAATTGTTAAGAGTGAATGTGAATGTTATAAATGCTGTCTTTCCTTCAGCACTATTTCTAATATTGGAATAAGTCCATTGGAATAATCAATCGGGCAAACACAGACTTATTGTTGGCCTTTGTTACACTGCAGGTTCTTTCTGAGTGGAAGCAGAAGTATGAGGAGTCTCAGTGCGAGCTGGAGAGCTCCCAAAAGGAAGCAAGGGCTCTGAGCACTGAGCTTTTCAAACTGAAGAACTCATATGAGGAAGCTCTGGATCATCTGGAGACCATGAAGAGAGAGAACAAGAATTTACAGGGTAGGATCTGCTGGTGGTGTTTGTGCACAAGATCTGTAGACAGCATTAAACTTTAAAGTCATCCTAATCGCAGTGTTTGACATCCCATAGAGGAGATTTCTGACATAACTGAGCAACTTGGTGAGAGTGGCAAAAGTATCCATGAACTGGAAAAGTTACGGAAACAACTGGAACAGGAGAAGAGTGAGATTCAGTCTGCTCTCGAGGAAGCTGAGGTACACGCTCTGAATAATTAATAAGACATTTTTAAGTAAAACTAACTGCCATTATGTGTAATTCTGCAACTTCTTGCCCACTAGGCCTCTCTTGAGCATGAAGAGGGTAAGATTCTAAGAGCCCAGCTTGAGTTCAATCAAATTAAAGCTGATATTGAACGCAAACTGGCCGAGAAGGATGAAGAGATGGAGCAGTGCAAAAGAAACCTGCAGAGGACCATCGACACCCTGCAGAGCTCTCTTGAAGCTGAGTGTCGCAGCAGGAATGAGGCTCTGCGGCTGAAGAAGAAAATGGAAGGAGACCTGAATGAGATGGAGATCCAGCTAAGCCAGGCCAACAGGCAGGCAGCCGAGGCCCAGAAACAGCTTAAGGCCATCCATGCACATATGAAGGTAAACTAAAAAAATTGAAAGAATTTTCAGATGTTTTACATTCAAACTGGGTATAAAATTTAATGTGAATAATGTTATCTCATCTAGGATTGCCAAATTCAGCTGGATGACTCTGTTCGGGCCAATGATGACCTTAAAGAGAACATTGCCATTGTTGAGCGACGCAACAACCTTCTTCAGGCTGAACTGGAGGAGCTGAGAGCAGCTCTGGAGCAAACGGAGAGAAGCCGCAAACTTGCAGAGCAAGAGCTGCTGGATGTCAGTGAGAGAGTGCAGCTACTGCACTCACAGGTGAGTTCTGTTTACTGCAACCATGCAGATGTATGAATACTTTTTCTAAAGTGCAGATGGACACTTTTTCTCATATTCTTGCATTGCATACCTTAATAATATACAGAACACCAGCCTGATAAACCAAAAGAAGAAGCTGGAGGCTGATACATCCCAGCTTCAAACTGAAGTGGAGGAGGCAGTGCAGGAGTGCAGGAATGCAGAGGAGAAGGCCAAGAAGGCCATCACTGATGCTGCCATGATGGCAGAGGAGCTGAAGAAGGAGCAGGACACCAGCGCTCATCTGGAGCGAATGAAGAAGAACATGGAGCAAACCATCAAAGACCTGCAGCACCGCCTGGATGAAGCTGAGCAGATCGCCATGAAGGGAGGCAAGAAGCAGGTGCAGAAGCTCGAGGCCAGGGTAAGAATCACAAGTACACAAATGTGAAAAATCACAGGTATTTTTTTTAAACTTAATTTAGTTTACTGTCTTTTAGTTGATGTGTTTTTATTAAAATTGTAATAAATGTTAATACTTAATGTAAGCAGCTTTAAAATTTGTGGTGGACCAGAGTCTTTGTAGAAAATGATTTTTGCATCTTTTCAGGTGAGGGAGCTTGAGAATGAGGTGGAGTCGGAGCAGAAGAAAAGCAGCGAGGCAGTGAAGGGAATCCGTAAATACGAGCGACGCATTAAGGAGCTCACATACCAGGTCTTTTTTTTTAGACATTTTGAGTACATAAACAATTAATATTCATATATATTCATATACTTTAAGATAATTGACTCAGTCAGTAATTTCTCAAATCAATTATTATTATTGTGAAATCTACACAAATGAAAACCTGCTATAGTTAATTTTGGACATTGATTCAAGTTTCCTTAACGTCAGCAGCAAGTCCAGAGTGTGACTCTTATTAAAGAATTTAATATCTTCACATTTTTACCTTTACTGTGTTTCAGTTTCAGCAACAGGAAGTTAATAGCACATTTGATGTATAGTTGTGTGATATGAGTAAAGGGGTCTGTGTTCCTGTTACTTCACATAAAATATTAGACGTGCTGCTTTATCTTAGGCAAACATACATTTTCAGTCATAGGAGTCCTCTTATCCTGCCCCTTTATACACAGATTAACAAAATAATTCCCACAGAGTTTTCAGAAATATTACAAAGGTTCATTATTTTCTCTCATCTGTCTCCATGGCTTACTCAGACTGAGGAGGACCGCAAGAATATTCTGCGTCTGCAGGATCTGGTTGACAAACTCCAGCTCAAAGTCAAAGCCTACAAGAGAGCTGCAGAGGAGGCTGTGAGTTTATTCCTAACAAAGTTGTCTCTAACTTTGATTTTTTCCCTCTTTCTTTTAACTTAAATATTCCTTCCCATACATATACTTTAAGTTTTTGCAGTTTTAACCCTTGTGTGGTGTTCGTATTTTTGTTACTCAGCCAGTGTTCATGGGTCTGGTGGACCCGCTAGAGTTTTGGCTTTCCAAATTAACACTATCAAACAATTTTATGTTAAATTACTCAACAGATGTTTACTTCATCCCAATTACAAGACATAGGTAAAGGGAAAAAATTAACCATGTTTGCTGTTCATTGTTAGATCACATTTATGAATTAATGTGCTTCTCGTTTTTCTTTTATATAAAATGTTATAAATAAATCAGTTATAATCAAGTGGAGTGAGTGGAAAGACACAACACATTTACATGTGAAAAAATAATTAATTGTTTAATTTTTCTTTTGAAAAAAACTGAACACGGGTCTCACAGACCCGAACACCATACAAGGGTTAAACATAGCTGTTCGATACATACCATATCATATTTTTGCTGCAACACAAACATTTTGGCTACATCTGTGCCGACACCTTTTATTTTACGATGTGTGGCTTCAAGAAACGTCGACTCCCCCATGCCTCTTAATATTGTGGACTGTGTTGTTTTTTAATCCTGTAGGAAGAGCAGGCCAATACTCACCTGAGCAAGTTCCGTAAACTGCAGCACGAGCTGGACGAGGCTGAAGAGAGAGCTGATATTGCTGAGTCTCAGGTCAACAAGCTGCGTGCCAAGAGTCGTGACGTGGGCTCTAAGGTAAGCGGCTTCTCTAGTTTTCAACCCCTGTTATGATGTTCATGATAACTCACCACGTCATTATCAGTTCAACACGATTAATTCCAAGTTGTTTTTATTCTGCAATTTGTAAAATGGCTCATTAAAAAAGGACACAATAAACACATTCGAAGCGATGCTTTAAAAATCCATTTATTTTGAGTTGTATGGTTTGTTTTAGTGGCATTTACATTAGAGGTTGGTTAGTGGTGCAAGTTTATTTTATTAGTATTATTATTATTTTATCATCTCACAGCAGCCTTCTTCATTTGTCTCATTCAGGTGACAGTTTTCACTAAAAATATGTAGTTTTACATATTTGTTTTTTACGAAGCTAAAAAAAAAACAAAACAGATATGAGTCATAAAAAGGGCAGAGGTTGGATGTAACAAACAGCTTTAAGCTATCTCCTGCCATCCACTAAATATATGTATAGTTCTTTTTAAAGACCTCGTGATTAATTTGTGTGTTTATATATTTCCAGCTTTTGGACAGATACTAATTTGTCCTCTTATGCAGTGAATGAAGCTTGGTAACATATTGTCTGTGTTGCTTTACTTACCCATATTTCTACCTTCTTAAAAACCAACAAATTAAAAAAAACAACAACAACAAAACAAACAAAAACGTCTAAATTTCCAGTTATAGCATCAGTGAGTTAAAGACACACCTTGAGCCTTAAATGTGGACAAGCTTTTCAAGATTTTTCAGCTACATTTCTGGTCTCATGAAACATTCGTGTTGATTTTGTCCAAGCCGACATGATGCAATAACAGAATCCTGACTCACGCTCTGATGTTGTTTTTGCCAAGTGGTTGTTATTCTCTGATATCAGTGCAGCGATCAATGTTGTGTCCTGCTGATTTATGTTATTTGCTTATTTTACTAATTTATTCTCAAGCCTTGCCTTATTGGTTAGATTTTGCAGTGTGATTTAATAACATTGTATTCTCTGCAAATGAAAATGGTCATTCTTGAAAAAAAAAAATCAATAATATTAATCTTGTAGATTAGAATAGTTGAATAAAATATCAGCTACACTCATCAGCTACACTCAACTATGGAAGCCTATGCTTCTCAGTGAATAAAATTCTTTTCTATTGAGCTAATATGTATTTTAATATAACAGTGGCTAGCACTGTTGCCTCACAGCAAGAAGGTCCTGAGTTTAATTCCACCATCACGCCGGTGTCTTTCTGTGTGGAGTTTGCATGTTCTCCCTGTGCTTGCGTGGGTTCGCTCCCGGTTCTCTGGCTTCCTCCCACCATCCAAAGACATGCAGTTAGTGGGGCAGGTTAATTGGAAACTCTAAATTACCCATAGGTGTGTATGCAGGAATGAATGTGAGTGTGAATGGTCGTCTGTGTCTATGTGTTAGCCCTGTGACAGACTGGCAACCAGTCCGGGGTGTACCCTGCCTCTCACCATGAGACAGCTCCAGCCCCCCGCGACCTTGATACAGGATAAGCGGAAGCGAATGGATGGATTGATGGGAATATTAGTTTTAAGGCAGCAACTACTGGTCTACTTATTGTCCAACACATTTGAGTGTTGTTAGTCCTCAGTCACTAATTTGTCTCTCATTGTTTGCTTTCTTATCATTCTTCATCACAGAAAGGGCTAGATGAGGAGTGAAACTCACAGACGGCCACCTAAGACCTTTGGGATCTTCTCTATTGGTTCTCCTTTGTCTCCAAAGTAACTGTAGAATAAAGCAAAGTGCATTCAAATTAATGTGTGCTTATTCATTTTTAAGTAGCACCACATAAAGTCGTCAATAACAACATATAAAACTTACATTTCACGTGTTCATCACTGACAAAATACCAATGTTTTTGAAGGTATAAAAATTCTATAAAGTACCAAAGAATTCAAGGACAAACTGATATTAAGTGTAAGGTGTTACCACATTAACAATATGTGAAGCTAATCAGTTTACTAATCACTATATTTTTTACACAGGATCATGTTTGGGGTGTGATGTTAGGTGGGTAACTTCTGCCACCTTGTGTTGAATTCTGTGCTGTTTTCTGATATTCATTCACAGTTGCAGCCGCAAATCTGCAAAGTTTTATTAACTGTTAGTGGGTATTCTGAAAATATTTTCCACCCTATTTACAATCATTTCATACAGCATATGGCACAGAAATAGATTTCTGCAAATGCAGATTTCATTCTGTGTGAAGCCTTTAAAACTCAATCCAGCAAGTTTTTGAGATTTATCGAGCTGCAGTAATCAAAGTAGACAAAAATATGTTTAGGAAAGAAATAGAAAAGCTATAATGAGAGTCTGTATTCAGCTTAAATTGACTCGCAATGGTCTAAAAAATGCTGTGTCAGAAGTTGTTTTTTAATAATAAATCTGAGGGAGGAATGATGGTAATTTTATGTTTGCTAAACAGAATGAAGCCTAAAAATTATTTCCCCAATAAAGTGTAATTTTCAAAGTAAAAGTGCTTGTATGTCTCTTACTCAGTCTTGTCCCATACCACTGACCCTGATGTCTTAAAATTAGCTGCAAAGCTTTTTTAGTGAAGAGACTTCATAATGTGACACGTGTTCAATGAAATAACTGTAACGTGATGAGTTCTTTGCCATCAGCACAATACCACTTGTTATCTTATGCTACTATATACACAAGGACCATTGGTGAGTGTGGAGGCAGTGCTAGAAATAGTTACTTTCACTAAGTGAAAGGAGAGAGAAAGAAAATACTCTCAGTTTAAAATACTCCAACAATGTGACTGAATAGCAGAAAATGATTGAATAAATATGATTACAATCTTCCCTAAAACCAGAGGAGGACAGTATTAGAATCTCTACGTGCAGAACAATGAAACAAACAAATTCAAGAGTAAATTATTTACTATATTTATGATGTGCATTTTTAACTTTATATCTCTGTGTGTGTTTTTGTAACACATTATAATCTGGTCAAATATAAAAACAGTGTAATTAGTTGAGTATAATTGTTGTAACATAATATCCTGATGATTTAGACCAGGCTGTAATTAAACAACATTGGTTAAAGAAGCCTCGCGTCTAATGCACTAAACAACTGTTGGACATATCTCAGGTTTGCTTACAATCTCTCACTGTGATATACGGATATTTTAACGCTGTAAAACAAAACAACTAATAAGAATTATTCTTTAAAAGACATCATCAATTTTCACTGTGCTACTTTCAGAGAAAATGTATCACATTAAATCCAAATATAGATGGAAATAAACCATATAAACACACACAAAAAAGAAACTTGAGTATGTCTAAGAAAATAAGAGCACATTTTACAGCAAATGTATTCCTATTTGAATCTTTGACAGGCTTACCGTTCATCATGCTTCTGCAGCAGGACAGTAGAGACTGAAGCACACCTTCTTGTGTTGTCAGTGGTTTAGGTGAAAGCTGACCCTGATCTAACACAGCCCAAAGGTCTTCACTATTAATGGAGAGATTATAAGAAAATAAGCGAATTGCTTCGTGTTATTCTTTCCTATCCAGACTTTGAGACACACACAACCATCTAAGCCGTGGCTTTGTTTGTCTTTCCTTTGACTCTTTGGGGCTTGACAGCCTTTTAATACCGTCACCTCTGTGCTGCAGGCTTCTGTGTGTCAACTACTTAACATCTAGGCCTTTGATGTTTAGAAATACTTTAGGATTATTAGACAGACACTCCCAGCATAAAGTGACACCATTTATTTTTTCCATGAAAGAAGATGTGACCTTACCTTAGAGGGGTTAGGCAGCTAGATGAGGGATGGAAGCCAGGAAGGGACCAAAGAGCAGATGAAGATTTCCACAGGGGCTTAAACAGCTGAGAATGAGAATGAGTCCAACAATGTGAAAGCAATCTCTGATCCACTGGAACACTGCTCTGCACCACAGTGAAGGTCATTCTCATTTTACCATAGGAAACCAAATTTCTAATTCCCTCAGTTATTAAGGGCTGATAATGGAGATCTGTCTGCGTCACATAAAGTCTCTGCTTCTCCCCACGTCAATGTTCATCTAATTTCAATGTTCAATGACTGTGGGCACAGAAAATACTTGGCATAAAACCCTAATTAGCTAAAACTTCCCAGTGCTTTAATGCAAACATTTAGAAAACACCATCAAACAGATACATTTCAACATATGGAGCATTTTCCGTGATATGCACCTGTTACCCCCCGTCCATCGTGACATCAAAGAATGCACTTCTGCTACTGCCGCCCTTCACAATCAGAGAGAAAAAATCCAGACAAGAATTTCACAGGGTTATCTTTGTCCTCAAGGCCAAAGGAGAGGGAACAATGCCATGACGACACTGTGAGACAAAGGGTGAAGACCAAACTGGGCAGAACAGTGGTGAGTGATCCCTGATCTTAGCTCTCACTTGACAACAGCTGCTATACTTTGTTTCAGCAGCAGTGACTCCAGAAATGCTTTTCACCTTCCTTTCACATGCCTGACCTTTGCTGAAGTTTGCCTTTCTGATTAAACATCTTAGCATGAGCAATGAGGCCAAAGCTGTTCAAGAGGTACAATCTTTTAGGAGCAAATTAGTCTTATTAATTTTGCTTGTCTACTTTGTTTGGAATTTGGAAAAGGGGCATTGAATTGACTGGTGCTAAGTAGTAAAATGAAAGTTACTGTTTGTAACCAGGTTTTGAATGAATTATTGTCATAACCCCTGAATCTAAACAGACCATTTGCTCTTGGTTTTGTTGCTTTGCCTTGTATGCAAGTTGTAATCTGGAAAGATTATCAGCTGCTGTAAGCAAACAACCAACACCATGTGACAATAATCACTTTATAGAACAGAGGCTAAAGATTCTTCAGACATAGTGAATACATGTGGATTATTCTAGTAAGCAAAACCCAGACAAATATAAATATTAAGATTGTAAATATGATATAAATATAAGTATTAAACTGAATTTCATCAGTATTACAAACAATATATAAAGTTACCCGTTACGAATTAAACGAATAAAATAAGAGTCACTTGATATCAAGCCTGTCCCTGATCCCCACCTCTTGCCCTCCCCTTTCTTTGTCCTGTATTGTTCTCGCCCTGCTTGTCACAAGGTGAATGCAACAAATAGCAGCAGTACAACTTACCCAATTAGGAGAATGCTTTTTTAATGTGTAACCTTTCTCCAAAAATTCAGGCCATATTTGGTGGATAAAGAACCTTTATTAAAGGATGAAGGGCAGATGTCAGCTGCAGGGCTCTTCACTTCACTTGATTGAAGGTTTAGAGTCAAAGGTAAGCAAAACATTTACATATAATTTAATGTTCAGAATAGAAGGTCACCATACTTTACATGTACATCGTATTAGTGTGGGGTAATAAATTATGATGCTGTGTGGTAGTGGTAATGGAATTTTTCTTGTTTTGCTTTTTCTTCTGGTCTAAACAGCAAGTCCTGACAGATCCTGCTCTTCTTTTTGGAATCCAACCCACCCTAGGTAAAAGCTGTGCTTGGTTTGAGTTGAACAGGAATGACCCTCAGTTAGGACTTACATTTTTGTGGTTTAACTAGAAATGTGCAAGTTTTATTGTTAATACTCTAAGTAAGTGGGTGTCTATTCTCATCATGGTTTTTATGGCATAATTCTGTATTGAAATTCAAAGTATTAAAACACGAGTTTTGAATGGTGTAAAGATTGTACGGCAGCTTGAGGCAAAGCTGAGATTTTGTAATTCGGCAACGTAAATAAAACTGACTGAAAGTCTTTTGCCTCTGTACATATTAGTTTTTGACTGACACCACACTATTGCAGAAATAAAAAAAATGTCATGAGTGGGTGGGCGGGTGGCATTCTTGGTCTGCAACAACAGTTATGAGAGTGGTACGTGTGACACTCACATGAATGTCATAATACAAGATTTTGCAGCAGAACACTGCATTGTAATGACATGATTGCTGTTCTTCTGTTTTGATGTTGTAGCTTATTCCTGCATCTTTTCGCACTTTACCTGGTAACTGATGGCTAAACGACTGCAGTTCACACCGTTAATAATCGTCAATGAATGATTCTAGCTTGCATTCATTGTTAGAGACTAACGTTCACATTTGTAACAGGTTGAAAAATGGGGGATGCTGCCATGAGAGAGTTTGGGGCGGCGGCTCCTTACCTGAGAAAGTCAGATAAGGAGCGTCTGGAGGCCCAGACTCGCCCATTTGATATGAAGAAAGAGTGCTTCGTTCCTGACCCTGAAGTTGAGTACGTTAAAGCAACCATCACTAGCCGCGATGGCGACAAAGTCACTGCTGACACCGAATTTGGAAAGGTGAATAAAGTTCAGGTTCTTCATAAGTGTCTACATGTGTCTACAAAGGACTTGGTGCTGTTTTGGTTAACATGGCTGTTAACTGTTTGATTTCCATTTGCAGACCGTCACAGTGAAGGAGTGCGATGTGCACCCTCAGAACCCGCCAAAGTTCGATAAAATTGAAGACATGGCGATGTTCACCTTCCTCCATGAACCAGCTGTGCTGTTTAACCTCAAAGAGCGTTACGCAGCGTGGATGATCTACGTGAGCTGACAGCACAACACACTAACTGCCCTCCCACAAATTCTACATATTTGACACTTTGCTCTCCTCTTTTCACCAACTATCAGACCTACTCTGGGTTGTTCTGTGTGACTGTCAATCCCTACAAGTGGCTGCCAGTCTACAATCAGGAGGTGGTCGCTGCCTACAGAGGAAAGAAGAGGAGTGAAGCTCCTCCTCATATCTTCTCCATCTCTGACAATGCCTACCAGTACATGCTGGCAGGTACAAATATCCCTTTTAGCATTCATCTTGAATGACATATTGTTTGGACATCGTCGCATTTTCCCTGATTTTCTGATATTCTCTTGCTGACAGACAGAGAAAACCAGTCAATCCTTATCACGTAAGTAACTTTACCAACAAGGGTCTTTTTTCAGCAGTTAAGAGTTATACTTCTTGGTCTTGAAATGTATGTCTTTTTCTACTCAGTGGAGAATCTGGAGCTGGAAAGACTGTCAACACCAAGCGTGTCATTCAGTACTTTGCCAGCATTGCTGCTGTCCCAAGCACTGGGAAGAAAGATCCAGCTGCAGAGAAGAAGGTTTTCAAACATTTTCAATTCAATTCAATTAATTCAGTTCAATTCATGGGTATGTGTACAGCACCAAATCACAGCAACAAGTGCCTCAAGATGCTTTTCACAATCACAATTCCACTTGGGAAGCTTTGCACTTTAGATCTTGTCTTTGATTTTTACATCAGGGAACCCTGGAGGATCAAATTATCCAGGCTAACCCTGCATTAGAGGCCTTTGGCAATGCCAAGACCATCAGGAATGACAACTCCTCCAGATTTGTGAGTGTCTTTAGATTCTTCTTTCCCTTTATCATCTCCATCTTTTTCTTCTAGCTACTCCCTTTAGGGGTCACCACAGTGGAATATCTGCCTCAACTTCACTCTATCCCTTGCATTCTCCTTTGTCACACCAACCCCGTGCATGGCTATATGATGACTAAAATCTGCTTTTTTCCACCTAACAGGGGAAATTCATCCGTATTCACTTTGACAACCGAGGAAAGCTGGCTTCTGCTGACATTGAAACTTGTAAGTAACTGTGTTTATGTGGAAAATTTGAAAGTAGACTTAACTATTACATGCAACTTATCTGTATACCAGATAAGTTACAAATAATTGATTTCTCTTACAGACCTTCTAGAAAAGTCTCGTGTGACCTTCCAGCTCAAAGCTGAGAGGGACTACCACATTTTCTACCAGATCCTGTCTCAGATAAAGCCTGAACTTCTGGGTACACAGTCATTAACCTTAAGAACTATTACTATATGGAAAACAGCTAGACATTTTGTAATTTTATATTTTTCTATCTCCTTAGAGATGCTGCTCATTACCAACAACCCTTATGACTACGCCTTCATCTCCCAAGGAGAGACAACAGTAGCCTCTATCAATGATTCTGAAGAGCTGATGGCTACTGATGTGAGTTGAATCTTAGATGCACTGCAGCAATTTTAGTCGAAAATTCAAAAGCAAAAACGAAAATAGTAAAATAATGTTTTTGATTTTTGTCAGGAAGCCTTTGATGTTCTGGGCTTCACTCAAGAAGAGAAGAACAGTATTTACAAGCTTACTGGTGCAATCATGCACTATGGCAACATGAAGTTTAAACAGAAGCAGAGAGAAGAGCAGGCAGAGGCCGATGGTACTGAAGGTGAGAGAAGACTATTGACAAACTACAGTCAGTGAGGATCTCTGTGGGCACTGATGACTTTAAATCAAAACTGCTTTTTTGCCACAGATGCTGACAAAGTTGCATATCTGATGGGCCTGAACTCTGCTGACCTCATCAAAGGTCTCTGTCACCCAAGAGTCAAAGTAGGAAATGAGTGGGTCACCAAAGGACAGAATGTGGCCCAGGTGAGATAATATGAAACTTTTGGAGAATTCCAAAATAATTCCCTAAACTTTATCAAGGTGTACTTTTATGCATTTCCTTGTTAGGTGAACTATGCTATCGGTGCGCTGTCAAAGTCAGTGTATGAGAAGATGTTTCTGTGGATGGTAATGAGAATCAACCAGTCCCTGGACACCAAACAGCCTCGCCAGTATTTTATTGGGGTGCTTGACATTGCTGGATTTGAGATCTTTGATGTGAGTTTGGAAATATTATATTCTTCTTATATGGTAGTCCTGGATGTAAAATACAATTTAAATCCTGATCATACTGTTGTCCGTCTCGCTTCAGTTCAACACCTTTGAGCAGATGTGCATCAACTTCACCAACGAAAAACTGCAACAGTTTTTCAACCACCACATGTTTGTACTGGAGCAGGAAGAGTACAAGAAAGAGGGCATCGAATGGACTTTCATTGACTTTGGCATGGATCTGCAGGCCTGTATCGACCTGATTGAAAAGGTGAAACACTGTACAATTACATGTTCAGCTAAAACTAATGCAAATATAGTCTTTAACAAACACTTATACTTTCTGTCCTTTAGCCCATGGGTATCATGTCCATCCTTGAAGAGGAGTGCATGTTCCCCAAAGCCAGTGATGCCACCTTTAAAGCTAAGCTCTATGACAACCACCTGGGAAAATCCAGCAACTTCCAGAAGCCCAGAGTTGTCAAAGGAAAACCAGAGGCTCACTTTGCCCTGGTTCACTACGCTGGAACTGTTGATTACAATATCAACAACTGGTTGGTGAAGAACAAGGATCCTCTGAATGAGACTGTTGTGGCATTGTACCAAAAGTCTACTGTCAAACTGCTTGCAACTCTGTTTGCAAATTATGCAGGAGCTGACTCAGGTAGGTTTTAAAAAATTACTAGCATCTTAGTTTACAAGTGATTATTAAAGCATCATGTAATAAGCTACTGGCCCAACCTTCCCCTGCCCACTTTCCCACAAATAACAACTGTATCTTACAGCTGAATCTGGTGGGAAGGGCAAAGGTGGAACCAAGAAGAAAGGTTCTTCCTTCCAAACTGTATCAGCTTTGCACAGGGTAATATCAGTATAACTGTACATGTTATAGATTGGTTAATAGAAACATTATTCCTGAATTTAGGACCTTAAAAGTCATTT